ATTTAACAGTTGATGGATGCGTTTAACTGGGAATTAGTTAGAGCCAACAAATGCGCTGCAACGAGATCTAAAGCGGGAACACAATAACCACAATCTCAAACACTGCATTCCAAAAAAAAATCCAACCATTTTATTTCGATTTCAATTATGGTGAGATTGAAAAATTTTCTTTCTTCAAAGCACACTAAAACTGAGTGAAAATGGTTCGTTCAACTACATCAGCCACAATTGTGACTAAATCAGTTTAAAATCAGGCCTTTTCGTTGCCCTTCCATCTTTGGCAATCGGTTTCAATGCAAACTTTCCATTTCACCAAAACTTTGCCAATGTAGTTAAATACCGTATATGTAGAGTCTCATTTCCGTTTTACAAGAACATTTTGTTTGCGTGCACATTTAAATAAATCACGGTTGTGATTAAGATAATCAGTTGACAACCCTGTGATTGATTAACCGCCTGTTGAGTTCACAGAAACGCAAAAAAAAAAAAACGATTTTTCTCAGTCATTTGATGGTTTTTCATGTTTAATTTCATGATGATGTGTATGCAGAGCCATTTTATTTTGAATTTGCATTGTACGAACTGGAGGAGGTCAACTGAGACGGCCTTTGCGTTTCTAATTTTACGCTAACGAATCCAAGACAAAAGCAAAGACTTTTTTTTTCATCGTCGATTAGACAACCAACGCTAATCTTTATTGTTGACGCACACTTTTTTATTCGGATGCACATGAAAATATTCGTTTGGAATTTACAAAGTGCTTTTTGGGTTTTTCAAAATTTGATGTGATTGCATAACATTCTCGTAAACCATCGACAAATATGGAAATGAAAATAGAAAGAAGAGAATTTATTTTGATCGCATTGTGAAATGACGTAAAAAACATATCATCGATCACCATCAATAGATTAACAACTAGCGGATATAATGTAACCAACACAGTACATGAATACATTGTCATACGAAATGTGCCAAACTTGCCAAATTGCCTAATACTTTTTTATGTTTATTTTTTATATTAACAGTTTTGTTATGGTTGCTGTCTTTCTAACTCGATTCATACACATTATTATTAATTTTGTTGTTACTTTTTTTCATCATCGAGCGACAGTGTTTGCTTTGGTTTTTTTTATTTTGATTTTGATGTAATGGCATGGTTGGTGTGTATATATATATATGTGTGTATTATTGAAATTACGAGTACTTTGTAATTCAGTCACTTTCTTTCTTTCGTCAGGTGGGCATGTTTCAACATTTTAATTTCGTGTTTCTTTGATTCAGACACCATAACATGCTGTTGCGACGAACATTGTGTTTTCTTCTCTCTCTCTCTCTCTTCTTCAAACCTCATAGTAAATGTGTGAGAGCTAGACTGTATGTGATTTTGTTGGTCCCTATCGGGCATGAATCGAAATGTAATAATAGCGCGTACAATGCAATATCGCCCAAAATGATAAAAAAAAAATTATTCAAAAGAAATGTGAACAATGCAATGCCAAAAGAAAACTAAATGAAATCAGGTCATCGCAGTGATAATCTATTCAAATCATTAGGTGTGATTTATCATAATTGAATGTGCTTGTCGCGCATGAATGCGGTAACGATTGTTTTTTTTTTCGCGATCGCATACACAACTTGGGACAAGATTTGGAGGAGGCGTCATCAGGCGGAAATTTATTCGAAAGAAAGTGCAAGGAAATAAATAGTTCGATCAAATTTTTGATATGAACAACAAGAAATACCAGATTTTTAATTTAAAAATAAAAATAAAAAATCCGTGAAGTTATAAATTGCATGTTCCAGTTCGTTAAACATACGAAAAAGCCAGTAGCGAATATGCGCAGGTTTCATTTTGATCATAAACATTATTTTTGTTCGCTCGCACATTTCTTTCTCGCCACATTGCATTACAAAATAATTTTTGTACATTTTATTATGGCTCACATTACCACTTCTTCGTCCGTAGTCTCTTTCCTTCTGCTCCGCATATTTTCTTCGTCTTCTTCTCCGTATCGACTGTATGCGCTTTTGTATAACAACTTGTGATTTGGTCAATTTGCAATTAACAGACACTTTTTTCTGGGCTTTGTTTCAATTTATTTACGTTTTCTTCTTCTTCGGCTCGGTTTTTGCTACACAATCACGATGTTGTTTGTCTTCGGCACTTCATACAAACGTTGGCACGCTGCTTTTCTTTATTATACTTTTGCTATATGGTGTATGTGTGTACATATATTTTGTTTTTTCATTTCTCTTTTGCCAATACTTTGTGCCGTCAATTGATCGGAGTTAGAGTGCGCACGGAAAAACAGTTGTTTTTCGATATGATCACAGATTACATAAATCTCTTAGAGCGATGTATGGTCTGCTAATCGCAATAGTACTATCTATAAACGGAGCGCGAATATATTTCGTATATATGTGTGTGTATGTCTTACATTTACGAAAAAAGCGTTATAGGCAAAATGTAGCGCCGTGTATTTTTTTGCAGGTTTGTGTGTTCGGCAATCGATTTTATTTTCTGCTTTTATTTGGATTTTCTGTCAATAAATGTGAAAAGAAAGTGAAATTTTTTTTTGAAATGCTTGCATTCAATGCAAATGGCTCTTGTGCGCGTGCGATTCAATGATTACATTTCGCCTCTACTCAACTTAGTTAGCTGCTCTGGTCAGTCTCTCTTGACTGCTACCTTTTTTTTGAATCTTCGCTTATTTTTGTTGCAAGTAAATTTCAATTTCTTCTTCGACTTCACACAATATTATAGTAGTGAACCGTGTAAATTTATTGCTTAGCGTGCGAGAGCAAAATCAGCGTCATTCAATTTCATCCCAATAATTGCAGTTCGAGAGGAATGAACAATTTGAAGTGAGAGACAAAAAAATGAGAGTTTTTTGTTTGCGTCAAGAGAGCTGTAATATAAACCAGAAGCAATTTCAATTTGAAAATTGATTTTTAAAAGCACATTAGTGAATTTAGCCAACAAATGACTTGGGCCATGAATATATCGTGCACAATCAAATTGAGAATGATTGAAGAAAATTAACCGAGATACAAAGCCTGCACGCTTGTACACACTCACAAGGTTTTTTGTAACGGCGACCAAACAGAATATGAGAAACAATTGAGAAATAGCAAGAAATCTAGTTAGTGTGTAATGTGCAAAATTAGAATGGTCCACAACTGATTCGAATGGCACAGCGATGAATAAAAAAAACACACACTTGTTAATGTATGTTTTGCATGATGGAAAATATTGCTTGATATTGAAATAAATTGAGCGTTATTGCTTTGAATGAGAGCAGACAACGGAAGCCCGCCTCTTTTTTTCGGGGCGAAAAGATGCAAAACAATGCCTACACGCTCAAAGGCAGTTTCACAGTTCACTTTATGCCACACACACACACACATATATATCTTTATTACCGAAAACATTGTTTTTTTTTCTATTTATTTATTATTTTCGATTGAAACATGAGTAATGCATGTTTAAAAAAAAATCAACAATCAGCCTATACATTTCATTGTATTTCTCACAATGTATTTCTAGGCCCATCTAATAATTCTCGCCAATTGACCAAAGAAATTATTTCAATTGAATATGATTTGACGGCTGTGTGTGTGTGTGTGCTTGGGCATCGCATTCTCAAGTTTCGGCATTTTGCATGGATTCGGTTATGAGATTCAATTCAGCCAATTCCAAAGAATTTTTAAAATTGAATTTAAAAGCATCGAAATTATGCTTCAATCAAACGATTGTAAAACATGCGACGAGGGTTGTCAAAATGTGGGAACTTCGTTTGATTCTAATAAATGGAATATCTATATATGAAGTGAACGATGCTTGCAATAAACTAATCAAGTACCCGCATCCACGCAAGCCGTACTCGACGAACGAAAAAGAAAAATGTGTGCTGCTTCCCTCTGCTCAAAATCTCCAAATTGTTTTGCGCAACGGCAAATTGTATTCGTTCGAAACCACAGTCGCAAAAGCAACAGTTTAGAGATTAAGACAGCAATCGGTGACAGATCGCTTTATATGGGTGCTTGTCCTCTACACTTTTTGTTGTTGTTGTATTTTTATGTCTGTACAGTCGCATGTCAATTAAACGGAGTGTTCCGTGTGTGGCAGACTTCTATAAACTGCATTTGCATGATGAAACTATATATTTTTTTTGACGATTTCGCTTTTATTGCTATTCATGCGCTGTTTTTTTTTTAAATATTCATTCTCTCTACCTCGTGCTCATTTTGAACAACAATTAGGGGCGTTTTTTTGCCGTATTTTATACCAGCGCGTATAGCAATCACACAATTGTTGCTATTATACCCTCATCAACATCATATGGTTCGGGTGTTATTTTTCATCACACATTTTATCGTTTACACCAGTCATAAATTGATGGAGCAACAACAAAAAAAATGTAAATGCTGACCGAATGCACGAAAATAAAATGCCGAATGACTTTTGAAGAACGAAGAAGGTTAATTTGATTCGACCGTATTTGGTGGATGTGTGTGTGTGTGCGCAGATACAGTTTTTTTGGACAATCACTATTGCGTTTTGGAATTTCGTACACATTGGCGATGCACAATTCGGTATTTTTACGGTTAAAAAAATGGTACGATCGAGAAAAGAGAGTCATATGATGCCGTTGGGTTTGAACGAGTCATTCGGTGAGACATTAATAACGGTGTGTTGCACACAACAATGCAATCTAACAAATTCGTCATAAAAATCATCATTGTATCACTTTTTAAAGCACTATCTATGAGCAATACGAACAATTTCCGAAGTCACATTGTCACACTTATCTAATCAAATCTACTATCATTTGGACAAAAAAGAAACGTATCACACTGATCTCAAAGCCACTTATCAATTTAAAGTAACTACACATGCACATACAATCACTTTTTTTTATGAAGAAGTCCTACAGCAAATCTAGTCGCTATTTATTCACACAAAGAGAGAGAATTGGAATGTTTTTTTAATTGCTTACCTTTAATTGGATATCAGCAACATCATTCGAATCATTCCAGTCGCCGTGGAATTTGTTGTAATCCCAACATACGCCTCCGGTTGACATAATTGCTGTCGACATGTTTTGTTCGTCAAATTTAATGAATAAAAATAGATGTGTTATTGAATTGCGTACTGCTGCTTTTAGTTTCTTTTTACAAAAGATCGAATCTTTTTTTTCTTTTAATTTTATTGTCGGTCACACTTTATTTTTATTTTTTTCCAATTTCTACTCTTCACACACTGAAACTTTTTTCTTTTTGAATTTCGGCACGTAGGTATTGACGCAAAAAATATTTTGTTTGATGATAATAATAATAAATAATAATAACACTACATGTACAGATTAAATGAATGCGAAAAAAATAATAATAAATTAAACACACGAATTTTATTTGTTGGTTTTTTTGTGTTGTTGTTAAGAGCAAAAAATGATCGAGTTGACAGAATAAAAACGGCCTGACAAATTCGTCACGAATGTGCACTATGTGAACGAAAAAAAAAATAGAACTCAGATTAACGGATAGCCTAAGCAGTTTATAACACGCAAGTACGAAGTGCAATGTGAACCACTGGATAATGCGACAATTCTATTCTTCGATAAAAATTCTATTCGATATTTTTCAAGCGGCTACAGTTTGTGTCGGTTTAAGATTCCGTTCGAACAAAAATTTTTTTTTTTTAAAGAGTGTGTGTACCGTTTCTCACGTTAAGCACAAATGAATGTATTTTAATTGTCTTATACTTGTTGCAAGCATGCGCGCACACTTTCAATTTCGTTTGAATTCTTCGGAAGTGTTATTTCAAGTTTATTTTATTGGGTTCATGAAACTCACTCAATACACAATTTTAGCGCAAATGTTTATCGATACTGAAACAATATCAAAATGTGTGTGTGTGTTTTTCTTTCGCTCTCTGTTGTTTCTCTTCGTTTCGAAAATTCGATTATATTTCCGTATTTGACCTTTTCGTTAATTTTGTGCACGGGTGTTTTTTTTTCTCTTCGTTTCAGTTTATTTTGAAAACTTTCTCGATGCTGCTGCAGGTTATAACAATATTTTGGTTGCTTTAAAAAAAACAGAGTCTAACGCGCACATTCACAAATATCGTTTTCGGTGCTTCAAAAAAAATTGTTGCTCCTGTCTGATTTCAAATGTGTCTCGAAATTGACGAGCAATCGAATGACAGTGATGAACAAATATATATATGTTATTTCGGTTACGATTTATTTCGCAGATAACTTGTTGTGTTACTACTACTGTTATTGCTGTGTTGTGAATTTATTGTATTGTCGAACTATTTCGTAAAATAAATTTGCTTTGCGCCTGTGTTTTGCTGGTTTCTTTTCTTCCTTTTTGTGTGTTTCACTCAACGCGTGCGCTATCGACGCCGCTCGTTTGTATACTGAATTGTTTGTTAGGTCTGGAGCTTAGTTCACTGTAAATGTTTCGAAAATATATATACTTTTTTTTTTTCAACAACACAACACGCATTCGAAACAGCAGCAACGAACACAACGTTTACACAACTACCATCACACGCACACGCTTAAGCCGATCGTTTCGAACACACTTCACAAGCAGTGCGACTGTCTCATTCGTTCGATCGTGTTCACAATGTGTGAGTGTGTATGCATACAATGTTTGTTTATTGCTTTAAACATTCGAATCCATGTGTGTTTCGGGAAGTTTTTGCATTGGTATGTGATGAATGCATACAGACTGCACAGTGTTTTATGCGCAAAAGACTTTGTATATTGTTTTTTTCTCTCTCTTTTCGTTCGTCTTCGTTCACAACACTCTTGTTTAGTTATAAAGATCTCGGTTCATACCATTTGGAAGCGGAATGTTTTCTTGTGATATGCCTAACAAATACCATCGCATTAACCAAACATTTGCCGAGAATACACTCGCTCTTTCGCTTGTATCGCGTATTGTGTTCATGCTATTTTTGCAGCACTGCTGCCTTATTTTTGTTTTCTTCTTCTTTTTCTTCCTTTTGCTGTATTTGTCGCCGTTGTTGCTTGTTTTTTTATTTCTTTTCTTCTCTGTTGTTGCTTTCTTTCACTTTTTACTCTCTGTATGCTTTCTGGCGAAAAATTACGCGATGCATTCGCGTAATGTGTGTATATATATATTTCTTCGTTTTCTGCCTTCGATCGGGCTTCGTCATCTTTATTATGTTTGTTTCGATAGTGAAATGTGCGCGGAATATATACGTATATATTGCGTTTCTCGCTCTGCAACTTTTTTTCCCAATACTTTTTGTACTGGTTCGCGAGTACAGAGATTCAATTATGTAGCAGTTGCCAAAAGAGATCGAAGCATATTGTTTAATGTTGCGCGACAATTTGTCTTGGTCGGACGATGTATTTTGTATTGTGTTTTTTTCCTCTTTGCTTCCTTTTCTTGAGTGTGTGTGTATGTGTGTGTAAGTCTCGCGCGCATTTCACATAGTCACGGTTTCTCATGTTTTTGCACCGATTGCATAGTACACAACGTTTTTTTTTTGTCTATCGAACATCGTTCTCTAATTGACTGATTTGGCGAGTATTTTAATCAAATTCCGTGCATTAGAGTAGGCCCAAGATAGAGAGAGAGAGAGATAGAGAGAGAAAAAAAGGAAAGCGTATCTTTGCTACTACAGTCATACAATGTAATGAACAACTTTGTTCCTCCTTAAATACATCGTTTCATTCTCGACTCTTTTTTCCCATTCGTGTGGATATATTCTGGTGTCGAGGTGTAGTTTGGGCGATTGTTAAATTGTTTGTTTGAAGTAATGTGTATTGGAAAACAAATCGCCGTCTTACTAATTAGACGCGAATGATTGAACACAAACAACAAAAATTCATCGCATAAATTTGTACAGGAAAACATGATCGTTACATGAAAATTGCATGCAACTAACATTACTTTAGTATCCGTGTATGTTTGTGTGTTTTTTGTCGGCCGCTTGATTGGCGTAACATTTTCAATATTTTTTTTCTTCTTCGAAACAGTAAATTCGATGAACGGACAACAATGTCAATTTCAATGCCAATTTCTTTGTACATCGTAGAATAATCGAAATAAAATAAAAGGAAATTCCTTGTGACAAATACAATTTTATGGAATTGTTAAGTAAATGGCAATTGTTGTCAACGTTGATAACTTCATAGAGTAACTATAAAATATATGAATGTGTTTGGGAGCAAATCAAAATCCATGCGGGTCTTTTATTTAGAAAAATAAAAGCAATCATGAATGAGAACAGTCAATTCAACGATAAGGCGGCTTGTGATAAGCATAATAATTCAATTTTGAAATGTGTGTAAGAGTGTGTTATCGTTTCCTCACTTCATTTTTCTTAACAAAAAGATTATGACGTTCGTTTTTTATTTCTTTTTTTTTTCTCTCGCTATGAATTGTTATAATACTTTGTAACGTTTCTCGTGTCAACAGTCAAGCCATTTGGATTTGATACGAAATCATGATTGAAATAGAAACGAAAATTGCACACATTACCGACTCATTGTTGACATGAACCGATGCCATTAGACATAATTTAATAAACACACTTTCCATTTTTTTTCTCAACGGTCGCATTTGAAATCATATACAACACACAACATAGTTGATGCAATCGTGTCTTTTCGATTGGCCTTTCGGATGGTTTGGTGGGAAAAAAAGCCCATTGGTTGTTATTGCGCAATAATAACGACACGCGAGCGCTGATTTTTTTTTCGCTTCTCGAAATGCTTCTGATCATTGAATCGATGTCGATGTCATCCGCAATGAATACAATTCGCGAATGCCACATTCTCCTTTATGTTGACGTGTTTTTTTGCACTCAACAACGTTTCTATATGTTCTATTCACCATTTGATCAATGAAAAACCACGTCCGTTTGATTTAAATTGACAGCATGTGTGTGTGTGTGTGTTCTTGAACGCTAAATTGCAATAATGGCGAATGAATCGTATCGCTTGCATGTCCATCACTCCATGAATACACACAGATATCGTTTTGGTTGTTGTTTTTTTTGCGATAGAGAGAAAAATAAAACTCATACAATCGACAATGTGATTTTCGTGCTTGAGTTATGAGGTGTATGCGACAACGATACACGATACTGCACACATTAAATGTGTGCATAGCCAACATTGATTGCAATAAGAGAGCGGCCGAGGGAAAAAAACGGACGTGCTAAAGAAGACATCGAACAACACACGTTTAATGTCGTACAACATATTTTTTTTGTGTTTTTTTTTCTCTCGATGTGTTGATTGCTGTTATTGTTGTTGTTGTTTATTCGCTTCGTTTAATCGTTTCGGCCGCCGCGTTGATATTGATGTTTGCCACAAATTCAATACAGAAAGAAAAAAACGTATGTATAGTAATGAAAATGTTCAGAGTTTCGATTCAAAATATCGCTTTTTGAATAATGTCAAGGTTTTACGAGTCCGCACCATTGTTTATGCGCATTTTTTTTTTCAACTATTTACTTAATCTCTGGCTCTGGCGAGCGAAACAACAAAGAGTAGCGAAAAAATGGCAAGCGCCAAAATAAAGAAGGAGATGGGCGAGAGAGAGAGGGAAAATAATAATTTCACAACATTGTTGACGAAAATTAGTTTGGCCCTGTCAGAGTAAATCAGATACACATGTGTGGTACAAATACGGTGATTTTAAGCTTGACATTTTGCTATATGCAACTCATAAAAATGTAAAACACCATTAATAATTGTTGATGACAATTTGGATTTGGTGAATGTGCGCATCTTCCTTTCATGGAACAACTCTTAATTTCGTATGTCAAATTCACATTTGATGTATCCGCTTTGCCTTTTTATTATTATCATGCAAAAAATGACAAGTTTTCGGATTCCAAATATAGCACAGACAAACTGAAATAAACTATATTTCGTGTATACATAAATGTGTCTTTTTTTTTGTTCAAAAAAGGGACTATAAACAATTTATGACGCGTGAATGCTAAAAAAGAAAACGATGATGATCGTTACAAATTTCGAAATGCTTTGATCGTGCAACACTCTCTTGCTCACGCAGACATATGTAGCGTTTGATAGACCAGGGCGATACGATCCTCAGCCCCACATCGAACATTCCGTACATTAGGTAATTCTTAATTTCGGTTTGAATGTTTAAATCATCATTGTAGTTTTTTTTATTGATACAACAAGAGGAAGGAAGATATGGATATGATGGGCCTTCTCGGAAACAAACGCCTTTTCAGAAATAATCGTAAATATGTTGCTGAGGTCTTTTTTTGCACAAAAACTACAGCGTAAAACTCAAGTTCATATTCTGGTCGTATGCTAGATATATCTGAAGTTATGAACGCGTATTGTTTTATGCTTGATTCATAGACGATGTGTGATTGCGCAACTGATGTTTGCGGGAACAGTTGTGTCTGTTCTGAAATAAAATAAAATAAAAATAAAATGCTCAAAAATTGTTACATTATCAACATTTTGCGATATCTCGCGCTGAAAAATTTCTCATTTCCTTTTCGGACTGTTTATTTCGAATACATCGTTGTCGAATTCTTCAACGTCCAAAACTTGAATGAATCAACGTTACGATAAAACAAAAGAAAATTGAGTAAAACACAATGCAAAGCACTTGATTTCTATGGCAATTTGGATTGTAATCAAATTGAAATACTAAAAAAAGAGGTTATCATGTAATAAAATTATAAAGCATTTTTTTGCGCTCGGCAAAATGTAGACATAACATTGTGAAGTGCACCACACAAACAGACACACATACACATCATGTGCACATAGCCTGCGATCAAAACCGATCCATTTGAAATGAGGCGAGAGAGAGAGAGAGAGAGAGAAAGAAAAAGGTAATGCGAAAAAAGTGAAAATGCCATAACGTGCAATATAATATATTGAATTAATAAAAACGTACAGAGGAAGCGCAACAAAAAAAAACTGCACGAAGCAAATTAAATAATGATCACTTTTTTTCACATTGAACAGATTGAATGTGTTGGATCGCTGAGCAATTTCACGACACCACGGTAAAATTGGTCTTTATCATTGCATACTCCATTTATATTTGTTCGAGCTATTTCTTTTTCTATTTTGGTGTTGTTTGTTCATGATATTTCAGTGATAAATACGATGTTTCGTGATCTTTTTTTTCTCCGTTGTATTCTACATTAATGTGCTTGTGAGTGTGATCTCTCTCTCTCTCTCTTGTACTTTCGAAGAGTTTGGAGAATTTTCGTGCTATTTGTTTGTTACATTATCGCTTTCAGCTTCATTTTTGTGTCAATACGAGAAACAATTTACACAGATACACGACTCCAGCTTCGCACTTCGCACACTTATAATCCAATCTATGAAATGCATGAATTGCAATTCATCGCACAAAAACAAAGCATCCAATTGTCAGTGTGTGTGCGTTTTGTGCCTTATGAAAGACAAACACTGGCCACAACAGCAGAAGCAAATGAAGCGAGAAAACTCTAACGACTGAGATAGCAAGACAAAGACCAACCGTATCTAAATCACTTTTGATTTCATGAGAATCGTACAATACAGAATTCTCTAGTAGTGTAGAGAAGCTAAGTGCGAGAATCGCGCTATATTTTTCTTAAACAATGTTACTTGTCTATGGGTCCATTGCTACTTTGCAGCAAGAGAAAAAAAACGACGCGAACCCAAACAACGCGCAATGCAATGAATACAGCAAGAAATAAACAAACACAGAACAATCGACCAAATCTACGGCGAACATCGCAAAAAGCGGAATTGTATAATTTATCGTCTTTGCTCGTGCTAATTTTCAATAAAATTTATTCATTGTAAAGAAAATGAAGTTATAATCTTAATATATACACTTACAGATTGCGTCTCTCGCGAATGTAAGCACCATTTACAATATTATTATTATTTTTATCAATAAGAACTTCTTACTATTTGTTTTTTTTTTTCGCGATTTTTCTCTCTGTCTCTGTCTCTCTCTCTTTTATTCGCTCCCCCTCGGTTTGCCGCATTGCAAATTGTGTGTTGTTTATGCTTTATTAATGAAAATAATTGCCAATCGACTTAGAGTTGAGTTCAGTTGTTATTGTTCTTTTTTTTCACTTGTTTACTTACCGGTTCGATTGTGCTTACTTCGATCTCATCGTTCACTCTAAATCATTTTATGGAAATCAAAGAGCGTGTTTGAATGTGCGCGTTCGTACACATCGGCACACTGGAAAACGTGCCATATTGTTGATGTAAATACTATCGACAGGCACAAATCCAGGTTGAATGATGGAACTTAAACGTAAAAATCAGTTGTAAGCGCTTGAAAAAACGACAAATTATTTAAATAAAAACAAAAAATCATGAAACATGGCTGAATATCAAATAAAGGGAAAATACGTATATGTTCATACAAACAATTTTCGGAACGATTTCACTTGTTTCAAACCATTCAATAACTAGGAACGAGTATTCTTCTTTGTAAACAGTTATCATTTTTAAAGTAATATTCGTTAATGATGAAAATATGCTATCTAATGAGCTAAAAATCCAACCAATTAAAACAATTTCTAATCAAAAATGTGAAAAACTTTCGGAGGAATGGCCAGCACGTTTCAGAAATCGTGTATTTGAATCGGACTTTTGCGCACTGTCTATCGATGGCTCTTTTGCTACTGTAGTAAGTTTTTTTTTATTAAACAATCATTTAGAAAAAACGATATTGGTTCCATACTACTACTATTGGCTACTGGTATCTATTATTTTTTTAAAAGTTCCGGAACTTTTGGAATGGAGGGTGTATTTGAATGATTTTTTAATTTTTTTTAGATGGATTCAGGCAGTTAGGATTCAGGATTGACGGAAGGAGGTGAATCAATTAGACTTTTATCCAGCATTGGGCTTGATAAACCGCAAGTTTATACCCGTATATCTTCCTTTATTCCATGGATAAATGAAAAAATCAAACAGCTTTAAAACGTTTTTCTAAATGTTTTATGCGATGCACAAAAAATAATTGTATCAATAGCATGAAATTATTTAGATCAATTGTCAACAATATTTTCCTTAGTCTGTGTGAAATGTGAACGCCCAATTTTCACTGACGTTTGTGAACTTTGGTCCCAACAATTTTACTCTTCATTTATTTAAACAACCAATGGTTTTCATGAAGTGAACACTGAACAGCATCTGTCACTTTGTCTTCATTCTCCAGTGATGTGAGTGAAAGAGAAAGGGAATGTTCACCAAAACGTAAGTATTAGAATTTCTTTCTTAAGAGTGATGTGCTGGTCATATCTGTGTTCAGTTGCATTGTTCTAGTGAGAGTGACAAGTTACTGTTAGTTACTATACTGCTCTTTTTGTTTTTCGTTTTTCGTCTCAATAATTTGGAAAAACATGTGTTCCATACAAAGAGTATATACAAAAATCATATTGCTTTTAGTAACACTGTTAACAGTGGCTGCCAAAAATGGCAACGAGGATTTTATCAATTTGACATGTCCTTGGCATGTTCAGCTCCTCACAAATCTTCAATTGTCAGTTGACGGCAATTAAAATTTGCAATTTCACTGTTGGATTCATTGCAAAAAGAAAATCCAAATGAAAATATTTTCTGTTCGCCACATGGCGTATATCAGTTATTGTTAATGACTTACTTTGCGACTGGTGAAACAGAAAAGGAAATTAAAATGGCATTAGGATTGACTGAGAATAAAGCTGATACAATGGATGCATACAAGTTGGACAAAAGTGCACAAGTCAATCGTATTCAAAACCAAACAATCGAATTCACTTCACATACTCGACTTTACTTCCCGCAGAATATCAATATCAAGTAAGCCATTTAATCGTTATGAAAATATTTATAATTCCAAAAATTGAAAATCGATTTTTCCCAGAAATTCTACGAAGGAATTGTTGAATGAACATATTGAGCAGCTCAATTTTGTTGAAGAGTCGGACCAATGCCGCAGTTATATCAATCAATTCATTGCAAATGCTACAAATAATCACTACGAAAATGCATTTAACAGCGATTCAATAACATCAGAAACACTGTTTGCTTTTATCTATGCAGTGTATTTCAAAGGAGAATTTGTATGTACGCTGCTTTCCTTATTTTAAATCGACACAAAATAAACGAATTAAAGTTGTTGATTGTTATCGTTTCAGGTTGAGAAATTCCCCAATTTCTATACTTTAAAGAGCATTTTTTATAATCAAAACCGAAAACCGACTCATGTCGAAATGATGGCGATGAATCTATTAGACATTGAAGAAGTCGAATATGGTAAAATTTTCAAAGTCGAACATCAGTGAATTAAAGCATATATATTTATTATATATTTTTATTAATTAGGTAAGATTTATGACTTGAATACCGAAGTCCTGAAATTACCATTTAAAAATGAAGGTATTTCAATGTTCATCTTATTGCCGGTCGCCACTTCACAATCAATTGAGAACTTATTAGCAAATTTGACGCCAGAAATTTTATTTAATGTGTTCTGCGGTACATATAATATACATAGTGCCAATTGGTATGGTCTCCACTTTTCTTTCCCGAAGTTTGAATTGGATAAATCATCTGAAATCATACCGGTATATTTATTGTTCATTTTTATTTTGACAACAACTTTGAATCGTTTCAATTTCTTTTTTTTTTCGAAAACTGATTTTGGGTTCGTAGGCACTTCAACATATGGGAATTCGAACCTTGTTTAACGACTCAGCAAATTTGGGTGATTTTGGTGAATTTGATTTCTCGGCAAAAATGACAAAATCTAAATTTAATGCGTTCGCACAGATGGCAAAAATTGAGATTGATCAGGAACTTACAATTACACCTGAACAACACCGTAAAACACATCCTATTTCGCCGAGAAGGTGAGTCACTTTAATAAATGAACCTATGATATGTGATCACCCTTTTGTGTACGTCATTCACGATCAACAAACAAACAACATTTTGTTTGCTGGCATTTACCATGGAAGTGAAAATTGATTTAAAAAAATTCAAACAAGTTACATAATTTTCTCGATTTTTTACGGTGTTCTGAAGACAATTCGTTTAACAGTCAAACATGTTCTGATCATTTTTATCATTACCCTCTAATTCTCTATTTTATTAAATGAATTTAAAATGTTCGTATTCAGTCTGAAAAAGATAGTTTTTTGTAATCTATGAAAAAAATAAAAGCGAAAATTGAAGTGAAAAAATAGAATTTAATGGAATACATCTTTAGCTTTAGTTCAAAGGTTCAAACTTTGAGATATACAATTTTAATTGGAAATTACTGCAATAGACAATAGAGTTATCGAAGAAATTGGTCACATTTTTTCACAATAATTAAAATAACGTAGCATAAATTCTCAAAAACGTGCTTTTTAGATTGCTCCTAATGCGAATTGCGTTGTTTGTATTTTATTAATGAAAATAATTGCCAATCGACTTGGAGTTCAGTACATTTGTTATTGCTCTTTTTTTCTTGCTTATTTGCCTGCTTCGATCTCATCGTTCACTCTAAATTATTTTATGGTAATCAAGAAGCATGTTTGAATAATAAATGTGTGCACACACCGGCACACTGAAAAACGTGCCATATTGTCAGTGTACTATCGACAATCACGAATCGAGGTTGAATGATTCAACTTGACTCATAATTAAAATTCAATTAAGATTTATGTCGAAAATGTGCTAAAAGACGATTGAAAGACAACCAGAGAAAAAAAAACACACACTGGGTAAAAAACAACAACAACAGCAAAATGGCATAGATGGCTAGCAGCACGTTTTTATTTTCATAATATGATGAGAAATCGTTTGTAATCAACCTTCCTGCCCTCGTATACAATAGGCAGTCGATGATTCGACTGCAATTTGATGTGATTCATCACACAATTCAACCGGAGATCTTACATCGAGAACATTCTCGGTCGACGCATTGACCAATGGATCGGCTTGATCATCAAGCAAGAAATCACGTATAAATCTTCAAAATAAATTAATCGACTTCAGACATTCAACTACGTTTAATAATCACTTGTGAGTTGTTATGCCTGCATGATATCTACATAGTGCATGAAAGAGAGTGAGAGAGAACAAGATGCAAGAAAATTCAAATGACACATAACATTCTGATATGTTTTTTTCTTCTTCAACGTATCAAAATATAAATGAAAATATGCAAACGGTATAAATGCTGTTGCATAAAATGACTGCAAGATTACGCGAATCATGCTGATTGTTCGTCTTTACGACATAATTACAAATACACACGCTCTTCAATTTCGATTTTATAAAGTCGCATTGAGATTCTGAAAAGAGAAGAAAAAAAGAACGGCCATCCAACAAATTATAGAATGCAATGAGCATTCAATGAAGGGGGGAAGAGAGCGCAGTAAAAAAACACACAGAGACGCGATGACGATAAAAAAGGATTTTATCGAGCAGCAAAGAGATGAAGAGAAAATCGTCGATCTAAAGCAAAAATCACAATGGCAATAAAAGAGGCGAGACAAAGAGAGAGAAAAGAACGCGATAATGTAAGCATAACAAAAATGGTGTGGGCATCAGGCACTCACAGCGCGCACAAAAAAAGCAAACATATACAATTCCAACCACAGTAATATTCATTAATACCGTCGTTATAAACAAGCTGTGTTATTACATCAAAACCTCTTGGCTTCAAGAACGCGTTTTACTTTGTTTTTTTCTTTCTTCTTCTTCTTCTTCTTTCATTTTCTGTCGTCTCTTTTGGTTCTTTCTCGCTTACTTCACTCATTTAATGTGATTCTTGAGGACTCTTGAGAGTCCGCAACGATTAAAAACAACACATCGTCCGCGTTCGCACTGCCTCATGCTCATGATTGTTTTGCTTGTGCTTGGGTCTGAGCTGGCGAGCTGATGATATTCAGGACCAGCGCAACCTCAAATACACATATTTATCAGAAAGAAAAAATATTTTTTTCATTCTTTCTATCCCATTTGGATGCTGATTCGTGGCGTCTCTCTCTCTCTCTCTTTCGCTCGACGTAGTCATCGTCGTCGTTTATTATTAATGAATTCATATACATATTGAAATGAATTGACCATCGCTTACGGCAAAACGAGTTTGTTGTTGTTATTTTTTTATCGCATCTTATTCTTCTTTGCATCTGTGTTTGTACATTTCTCTTTCATTTAATTTTTTTTTATCATGGCATCACATTTGAATGCGCACAACCGCATTTTGTCTTCTTTTCACACGAATCGATTACCAATATACTGCCGATACCCTCACACTCGTTCGCCTCTTCTCTGTCTTTCATTTGACTTACACTGGATTTTCGCCTTTTTTCCAATTCGTTGACTTGAATTTTACTCTTATTTGAAGAGATGCTGGACAGATTTTGTTTTCGTTTATTTATGCCTTTTTTGTCGCTTTGTGTTGTTGTCCATGGTTATTTGTGCGGTTAAGCGTGTGTTTTTTAATCAATGTGCATAAAGAGACATATTCGTTGAGATGAAAAAGACGCGAAAATCGGAAAACAATACATTTTTTGAGCAGCACGAGAAATGAAATGAAAAAAAAAAACAACAAAACAACAACGTTGCGCGCATTCATACTTTGTATGGCTTGGCTTTGTTTTCAGTTGAACATATAAACGAATGCCGTGTACGTGTCCGCACGTATGATGGGTTTTGGCTCATTGTGTGCATTCATTTTCTGCTCTTATATGTTCTGAGATTTCCGTTGAATTCGAATCGTTCTTTTTTCCCTTCAACTCCATCGTGTATGAAAACAATCTTTCAGATGCTTTGGCCGGAGAGCAAAAAAAAACCGATTTGTTTTTGAATTCTGGGTTTTTCTTTTTCAGATCGAACCAAATTCAAAGACGAACGAAACAATAATAATATTAGATTACCCACAATCGTTGTTGTCGAATTTGAAGAAACAATTAAATTCTTAAATTATTTCGTTTGAGAATTTTATTCGATAATATAAATAATAATGGGTTGTTTGACCTAACTTTTATTTGTGCAGCAAAATCAAGCGATCATTTCAAATATCATGACACAGATAAGATAATCTCTATTTGGGCATTCAGTTTTCAATTCCATTTGTGAATAAGATATTTGCTGTTTTTTATGTTTTTGATGTGCATACTGTGCAAATTATGATGAGAATTTCAAAGAAGATGCTAATTGGTTAATCAACAAAAGAGCAATTTCAGCGAAAACCCTTTGAATTTATCTGAAAATTATGATCTTAATTGCTATGGTGGCATTGAAGTTTTTTTCTGTTTGTACTCCAGTCATAGGTCAAGCGAAATAATGGTTTCACTATTTTGACAAAGGGACAAAAAAAAAAGATATGTGAGACAGTGCCATTTATCTTCCAGCCTCTCAAATCTCACGTTGTCCAATAAATAAAGCCATTTTAGCACCACTGATGTGCAACTTGAACGAAAAAAAGTTTCTTCATTTTTTCAACTAGTATTTTTTCACCAAAGCATGGCAGTAGTGACAGTTGGGCAACGCAGCATTGAATAATGGCACAAATTTGTGCTCAACAATGGCACAAATTTGTACCAGCAACCAATAGGGTTGCTATAGTTCATCTGGCAACCGATGCGAGCGCGTCGGTCATTTTTTGTCACTGCCGTGCTTTGAGTAACACACATGTGCGTAGTCTTTTTTTTTCTATTTCCACGATCCATGGATCAAGTCCATTAAAAACAACTTTGAAAACAATTTTTTTTGAAATCCAAGAAGAAAAAACGACATTATAAAATGTTATGCAAATTAACGCGATCCATAAATTGCCTGTGCAAAAGTTTCAGAGCAGATTTTCTATGTAACGCGATTATAATTAGGAAATGGAATTGATAGCAAAATGCGAAACACACAAAATTAGCATATTTTCAGCAAAATTAATAATAATAGCATCTTCTGTGCTACAGGTAAAAACTGTGTGGCGGCTAATGAAATGCTTTTTTTATGTGTGTTTCGTTTGCTTGAAGGAAAAAAAGACCATTTAAAATGATTGAAAATTTGATAAAACTTTGAAAGTTGAATTAAACGTGTGTGCCTATCTGATTTTTTTTTTGCTCGGTTCGCTGTGTATTTGATTTCGTTTCGATTTATTTTTCTTCGGAATCATTATTACATAAGCTTTTGATACATGAAACGTTCGGCCGATGGCGTCAGCTCATCAAGATTGAGAAAGGTCCATTCGGCTTGATATTCTTCGTGGGCATGGCAGAATCGGAAATCGAAACTTAAAATTTACGAAAATTGCAAATAAAAAAAAAAAATGAAAAAGTTAATTGAGGTTTTGTATGTGAGCTCTTTTGGGACAAGTGCACTTCTTTAAACGAAAAATAAGCGCATCATTTTCGATTAAAACCAAAATAACAAATGAGTGCATAACCCTCGGCATCGAAAGTGAAGAATGCAATCAACACGAAAAACAGCCAATGGAAACATGAAAATTACCGAACATCGAACGAAAGAGAAAAACAAACCTGACCATATTATTGATTGGCTTGAGTCAGAGTATGTTCCGATGAAGAAGAAAAAAAAAACATTTCTTCTCGTGCATCGATCTTGAATTTAACAACTACTCACAGATTTTTGGAGCGTGATTTTATAACGCGGACGGGCATACACACACCATGCTGCCGAATGGTAGATTCAGATACACACACAAAAAATGCCGAGAGTTTCGGCTATTTAGTGGTTAATTGGACATCGGAAGGGCATTGCGTAAAGAAATTGGTAGTTGCTGGCTGTGTCGAAGTAATAACAATGATTGTTGTTGTTGTTTTTTTGGTATTTTTCATCTTCTTTCTTCTTCGGTGCACGTCAGTTTTATTGATGTGTTTTTGTTGCTGTTGTTTTTGGGATAGTTTTTTTTGGTGTGTTGTTTTGTTAATCGTCGCTTAACATCTATTGCATTTTAATGTATTTTGATTTGAAAGAGTGTAAAAAACCCGAAACAACAAAGATAAAAAGGTAAGAACAAGCAACTAACAACCGAAAAGGGGAAACAACACATATATATGGCTTGATAAGTGATGCGCACACATCGTTGAAAGAGTAAAAGAGAAAGGAAC